ACGTGAGAGATTTGTTTATGTTAATACTGAAAGAAAGCTTTGTGTGGCTGAAATAAAGTCACATGACTAACTACTGGCACGAAGCCCAGCCAAATTGCATAAGAAAAAGATTGGACAAGAAAACTAGTGTATTTAGAGAACGAATGAGAAGATAAAACAATTTCATGCTCGATATTTGTAGCCAATGATTTTATTTCAAAATATTGCTCTCAAATAATATTTAAAAAACAAACAAAAAGTTTCTTTCCAAATGTACTGTCAGAGAAAAATGAACAATATTCTATATTTGTAAAATTATATTTTAATAAATCAAAAGCATCATCCATTACAAAAAAAAATACCTTCAATACATAAAAAACTTTTTTTTCTTTATACACCAATCAAAACACGCGAAAATATTAAATGTTGTTAGAAAGACTTAAGATTCAAAATATTACATCTATAGCTCATAAATACTTCTGTAAAGCAAATACAATACTTTAAATACTCTTATTAATTAAGCTTGCTGATGAAAACAGTATATAATACCTATACTGTTTAGTCTTACTTTTAATCAGACAACGTGGGCTGTACTAATTTTAACATAATAGTTTAGCTTTTTTATGTTATGAATATTTCCAAAAGAATAGCATCACACATCAAAAAAATTTTAAGTACCCTTATTTAAAAAAAAATGTAAAAAGGCTTCCATATTGATGAGTTATGGAAACTATAGCGCGTGGCTATTACGACGGCGTCGCGCTTCTGTGGCTCATTCTTTCGCAAGTCGAATATATCGTTAACAGCAACGTTCCCCAACTGATCGAACAATACATCCTTGATCTTAATAAATGAGAACGTAACTTTAATTTGTAGTTAAGCGCAAAGCTACACAACGGACTATCTGTGCTCTGCCCACCACGGGTATCGAAAGTCGGTTTCTAGCTTTGTAAGTCCACTGGGGAGGGTAAGAACGTAAGAATAGTATTTTTAATTAGTTACAGTCATTATCGACACCAAGTTGAATTTTAGTTACACTCCAAGTAGGTAGGTTGCTCTAATCGGAAGTTAGTATTAGCTTACAATCGTAGGCTTATGGAGGTTTTTTCAAGGGGGGGGGGTACGATTTTTACCTGAATGAGGTTACGAGTAAGAAACTTCTGCAACCAGTTTTTCCCGAATGAAGGTACAAATTGCCTGAATCACCGTATTTTGTGCTTCTATTTTGCCCGAATGAAAACTGAAAATTTGCCCCCGAATGGCCGTATGTATTGCAAGCTAAGCAGTCTACAGTCCCCAGCACTCACACACCCCCACCTCGTACGCCTATGTTTACAATATAACTTTTATCATCGCCAGATTATTAGGTACATCTAAAACATTCCAAAATGTCAGGTTATAAAACAGTATTCATTCATGTATACCGTGATGTTTCCTGCCTCAGATGACGCCTGTATTTCACAAAAGTAAACAGTTCTGATATTTAGGAGATCAGGAGAAAAGTTCTTAAGTTACTTGGAATAAATTATTTTTTCAAAAAAATTATCGTTTTTTTAAATATTTGTTAACGTTTCCACTTGATTTACATAATTGGGTTTGTGTCATTTAATAATCTAACAACATGCCAAAGCCTCACAAAGAACATTTAGAAATTAAAGAAAAAGTTAACCCAGTAATCAAAAATGTACAGATTCTAAATAATATACACATAACTGCTTATACACAAATAAAGCTGAAAACGACACAAATATACAAACTAAAAAAAAAAGTTAACTGATAGTAACTTTATAAACACTGCCCAATGGAAGAACGTATTCTAACTACATCAAACAAATGACCTAAAAACGTCACAACCAAAAACGCAGCTGGTTTTCATCATCACAACTTGATAGTTTAAACATTCTTTCCACCCCCGTTCTCCCTCTTTCTGCTCAAGCAAAGAAGCTAAAGTCAGTCTGTTCGCCCTTAGTGATAATAAGGTCATGACTAGGAAGAAGTAACCGATAATGTATGCAATTGAATTTTTCAACGATTGCATATAAAAAATATTTTTTTCCCAATCCTCCTGATTGCTTGTAAGCGGTTAAAGATAATAGATTGGGCCATTTCTAACGTTTTCGTAGGATCATCTTGTAAAATTAGTAATATATATATATATATATATTAATATAGCAGATTTAAAGGCGTGCTTTAGACAAATTGAAATAGAAGAATTTCTATAACTTTGACAATTATACTTAAGTTATTGAAAAAGGAGAAAAGTTCAAAATGTGATCATCTTCGTTGCAGTTATTTCAAGTAGACATTCCCACACTGAAATCATTCAAAAAATATATATAAAACTGCATTTATACATAATTTTTACCAGTTGGTTCTATAATTATTAATGTTAATTTGTTTGTATGTGTTAGGGAAAAGCCGTATTGGGCTATTTGATGTGTGAACCGTAGACAATTGAATCCCGGATGTTAGTGTTGTAAGTTCGTACACTTACCGCTGTGCCACCGAACAGTGTTAAGCCCGATACATAAATGATATAATGTTTAAGTTTAAGGAAAATAAATCTGAAGTTTACATTTTTGTATTTAGTTTTTAAAGATTATACATGTAAAATCCTTTTTTGAAATTTTATTTTCTTGTTCAGATGTTAGATAGGAAAATTATATTGTAACATATCGACCTGAATATTATTTTCTTCACGTACACCAAGTAACATAATCAAAGAATTATCTACAGTCAAACAAAGTAATATAAATTTAATAATTAAGTTCATGAGCAAATTTAAACAGCCATGTTGTAATCTTTGTCACTAGTGATAATATGAATGAAACTTTTTAAAATAATAATAGCATTAAAACCACTTAAAACTAATAAACTTTTACATCCATAAAGATGATCATGTATCAAAATTTAAATCTTAAAATAAGTAAACACACGCACCTAAATAATACATTTTATACACATATAAGGAATTTTGTATATCCAAACGAACATAGATATCATAAAATCAAACAATATTGCACAAATAGGAGAAATATACACAAGGCTGGATCAAAACTTTATAAATTTTATATATTAATGGTTTCGCTTTGAGTTTACTTACCGATTATGTATTATTTTATTACAAGTAACAGTTTTTACATTAAGAAAGATTTGTTTTTACGACGTTTCGATCATTGTTGCTATCATTCTCAAGTACACAATATTTAACGGTCAAAACTTGTTACTAGAATATTTATCTCCTATATAAAAAAAATGTTTCGTCAACACTGTGAAAGGCATTTTAACTATAAAAGTTTTTTATTTCAGCTCTACTGACAATATGTTAGTAAAAATCATATACCTTCAAAATATAAACATATGAAATATAGTTACTTGTGGGAAAATTCAAGCAATTCTAAAATTCTGTAGAAACTTTTATACGAAGCACAGTTTATAAGAAATAGAAATCAAACTATTCATCTATTAAAAAAAGAATGAAAGTATACATAAATAAGTATCCCAGGTTAAATCAAACATCCCACCCAGGACAAACAGGGTTAATACAATGATGTTTATCTGATGTATCTAATATTTACACACATATGAATGTTTATCTATATTATTAGCAGCACAATAAGGCACTTATGGTGAATATCAGCCATTTTGTCACATTAGAGAACTTTTAATATACAAAATAAAATTAGGACTAAATACAATACCTTTTTTTGTATTAAGAAATGAAAGATGATGTTTTTGACGCACTTATAAGCAAGTGTAAGGAAAAGATATGTTTAACAATATACTTCACTTTTATTTCAAATTGTTTACTTAGTTCATTATTAAAAATCACGGTACTGTTGATTATCCATCATATGAACAATTGTTTATAGTTAATTGTTAACTGTACGTGAACGAGTACTAATAATTAATGTAAAAATAAATAAAATAATTAATAAGTTTTAATTACACCAATGAATAAACCTAAAAACGTTCATCCCTTTCGAAACAAAATAGTAATCTTAAGACACCAACACTTCTACCTGTGTTTAAATGGCAAATGAAGAGTGGGAGAAGCAGCTAAGCTTTAGATCAGGGGTTCTCAAACCTTTTTTTTTATGGACCCCCCCCCTCACATACACACAAAGTGATAGCGATTTACTGTACATACTCTAAAATATCCGTTAACGCAATCTTTTTTACGATCTCGCGACCCCGCTACAGTACTCTTACAACCCCTTTTGTGTCGGGAACCCAGATTGAGGAATGCTGCCCTAGATAATGGAGAGCGAAATTGCGGCACTCGCGAGGCACTGTAGACACAAGGAGAAAAACAGCAACATAGCTGTGATATCTCACAAAAAAAATAGTTAGCTAACATCACGGTGTAATTATTGCTTTTTTTTTTATTGTTATTAACAGGCATTGTCCTTTTAACACAACCCCCATTGAACTGGTCAATCTCTGAAAGTGAAATAAATCTGGATTTTATGAAATTGAAGCTAAAGTCACTTTGTTTTCTACAATTTCTTTACATAACAGTTAATTTCTTATTACTATTTTATACATAGATTACAATGCCAGACACCATAATTAGTTTTTACGTTATTATGCAAATAAATAAATATTGTCGGTAGAAGGTAAAAGTAACACGTATTTTACACTAAATATCTAATTCGTGAAACCAACCAAACAAGTATATAACACATAAATATTTATTTCCTGCACTTTTGTAATCTTTGGTTTATCTAACGAATGACACAGGTGATTGTATATCAGTTAATCTTATGTGAATCCGTCATCTTTCAAGTCATAATATCCATTTATTCATTTGATATCTATGGGACAACTTGCAGACTATAAGATGAAGTAAACACTGCCAAATGCGGAGCCGACTAGAAGTACAATTTGCGAAGTGACATAGGTTCTAATTTTAGAAAATCGTTGATTTCGAGGTTGTTCTGAATCAAGAATTCACGCCGCTGACAAGTTGAATTCTTATACATACTACCAGAAAAAACAACAGCACTTGATTTTTTTTTGGGGGGGGGGGTGCCTAGCTCAAAAGGAACACAAATGAATCTGGTTTTTAAGAAGCATATCTGTTGCTAGCTGAATCGATATACTCAGACCCAAATTAAATATTCATTTAAAGTGGTTGATAATACTTGGATCAAAGGTAGGTTTTCAAACATAAATATTGAAAATAAATTCTTAATTTCGTTTATGGTTGTTATAAATTGATCAAGCTTTATTATTTTGTGTTATTTATTTAAATAGTCTTAGGTCATTTTGGATTTCACCTCAAAAATAATATGTCCGAAAACACCTACCCACTTTTGGATTTATTACCATGAAATACTGATTTTATATTACACGTAAAAATACCAGAGAAACAAAGTTATAACGAAATCAACTAACATACTGACTCTCTCAGTAGAAAACACCTTATGAATATATACAAGTCTATTAGAAGTAAACTGAATTTGGTAAAATTCATATAAATTAAAACCTTACTCGGAAATGTATCACATATTGTGATACTCTGAAATCACACTGAACCGATACATCAGAGATAGTCTGGATGTTTCAATAATATAAATACGTTTCAAAAGTATTTTTCTATATATACAAAGCACAAAACACCTATTTAGCTGCATTTACGAAATCAATTCGCGTTTATTCTAGAACAATTTATGAGTATATAAAGCCTTCAAATATTTAGATCTTTTTTTTTTTTCGTACAAAACGTGAAAACAAGCACATTCTATTATTGTTATATTAAATGAATATCTTAATTTTTCAGCTCTGAAAGAACAAAAGTATAAAATATTAAACTCGAAATTAAAACTGAGCTTATAACTTACAAAAACGTAGTTTAGCTTAATAAAATCTCACGTAAACTAGTAAAATAGTTTCTTTTTTGTTTTAAGTTTTATTGAACCCTTCGGCAATAATAACCAAGTGTCTTGCATTTTTCACACAGGTGCTGAGGGTGTTCTTTACTTTGGTCAGAAACATCTAATCCGTCGGGTTTCTCTAGAGGGCGCTGTAAACAGAAAACAAAAAACTGTTTCATCTGAAAGTGTTATTACCATTTAATAACAAAATGTTTTACTTTTTCTTGTTATCACAGAAAATATTTCTGAAACATTTACGAAATTTTTTTCAAAAATATAGGGCACGGCATGGCCAGGTGGTTAGGGTGCTCGACTCGCAATCTGCGGGTCGCGGGTTCGAATCCCCATCACTGCCCAAACATGCTCGCCCTTTCAGCCGTGAGGGCGTTATAATGTGACGGTCAATCCCACTATTCGTTGGTAAAAGAGTAGCCCAAGAGTTGGCGGTGGGTGGTGATGACTAGCTGCCTTCCCTCTAGTCTTTCACTGCTAAATTAGGGACGGCAAGCGCAGATAGTCCTCGTGTAGCTTTGCGCGAAATTCAAAAATATAGTAACTTTGCTTCAGCTCAAGATTTTTTTTGTGCATCCGACAGAATATTTGTTAATTACGTCTTGAGAGTAGTATTTCACACATAATACGTGAACTCTAAATAATTATAATTCAAACAATTACACCATGTTTTTCCCACTTTAAAATATTAAATAAAACAAGAATTTGAATTTGCCGCGAGGTTTCCTTGTACGCCTACCAAAAGGCAATTTTTATTTGTTTTAGTGGAAAGCTACACAATGGAATATATACACTCTGTCCACCGTGGGGAATCGAACACTGTAATCAAGCGTTGTAAGTACTTAAACTTATCAGCGACAAATCTGGGAACAGGTGTAAATGAGAAGCGTCAAAACATTATCTCCTCACCATCTACATGCCAAAAATAAGCAGACAACCGTTAACAATAAAATGTTATAATATAGGTCTTTTAACAATAAACTAAAACTTACAAGTCATGTTTAAACAACAATAGAAACGCTACCAGCTACAAAACAAAGTAATTATTTCATGTATAACATTATGCAGTCACTGACAAGCAGTTATGATATGTAATCATACCATGATTTTTCTATCTTCTCATTTCTAATGTAGAATTTTTTCAATTTTTTTTTCGTTTATTCTAGGAACGTATGGTTCTCATATAACACACGGTCAATAAAGCTGTTAAGTTGATTTCGTTCTATATACTTTGGTTCTTTGTCATTCCCTTGGAAATAACGTCTGGTCTGCCCGTGGTAATATTTACTGTAAAGCTGCACCTTGTAATATATAAAGGTCAACAGTAATATCCTGCAGTGGTAGGTCTGGCAATATCTGGAGGTTACCACCTCTCTTATGCTTGAATAAGATGAGAATGACCAGTCGCTCTGCATAAGTATATTGTTATCAATCCAACTAAATAAGGTGAGATTTAGATAAATTGAAAAATCGTCTTGAGTGAGTCGGTCAGAGTGGAAATAAGTCTTGATGGAGTAGAAACAGCATGATCCGTTTATGACGATTGTCCAGCGTCCAATTTTCATTTCATTGTGTATCACATTTTGTGTCCGGTCTATTAATTTCTTAGCACATAATCGGTTAGTTTTAATTACACTCAGTATTACTTTGCGCTATATCTTGCCGAACCTCCTGTTATGTAGCGGACCTAACTATACAAGTTTACCTGAAACTACTACACAGTTACCAAGCCAAGCAGACTGTGGTATAAGGACATGGATGAAAAACATGCAAGGGAAGGGGACAATTTTTTTCGTTTTAATAATATCATTTGTTTGGGAGAGAGAAGAAAGTGAAATTGCCTTTCCTTCATCCCTTTTCATACTCCCCCTTCCCCAATATTTGACTAAATATGATTTGTCTCTGGACTATTTACCTCTAACTGTAGTTTAATGAAGGGGGGGGGAGTAGTTTGATAAAACTAGGTGGGAAATTTTCCAAAACCTAAGGGGGATGGGTGGATGGACACCACCACACATAAAACAAGGTTTATCAGGCATCTAATTCAAATTACTTGTCACATGATATAAACTTTCATACCTGCAATATGTGTGTATAATTTTAGTACTTACAATTGTAAAATATAAAATATAAAACATATTTCTCAATATCTATAATAGACATACGATCATATAACGGTCTTATACCAAAATCATCAACCAAGTACCAACACTTCCCAAATGAATCCAAATTAACAAACATGTAATATACTTTCACCAAAATTAACTAACACATGCCGCTACGAGATAGATAGATCTCAACACCAAAACTAAAACTTTACAGATATATGCTGTCAGTAACATGATATATACGCAATCTCTAGACATACTTTTGTTTTCAGTACGTCATAAATACATTAGGAGGTATATTTCAACTAGTAACATGAAGACATTGCCAAATATTCAAGTGATTTAACAAGTGGCATCCTTAAACGGCGATTGACAGTCCGAATTTATTTCGTCTTCTGAAAAGAAATATATTACCAAATCTGTTTTCTGTATTAGCTTTCATAAACACTTTCTCCACCCATTCGAAAGGTGTATAGGTCGTGTGAAACATAGCATGAGTTCTCAAAAGAAATTCGTTGTACGATTCACTCTTCCAGTCCTTTTCACTTGTAAGATTACACAAGTTCACCAGAGAGACCCCTGGACGATTCACTCTTCTAGCTCTTTTCACTTGTAAGATTACACAAGTTCACCAGAGAGACCCCTGGACGATTCACTCTTCTAGTCCTTTTCACTTGTAAGATTACACACGTTCACCAGAGAGACCCCTGGACGATTCACTCTTCTATCCATTTTCACTTGCGAGATCATAATACTTTCACTATCAATAAACAACTTAATTTGTATTTTAAATACTGACATATATATATATATCATCTAAGAACTGGATCATAATTTCTAAAGTTCAGATAACACCCTCTCTCCCTAATTAAATTTAAATCCTCATGCATATTCCGGTACGAAATACAGTGGTTAAGTAATTCTGTCAAGGATACGGAAGCGATGTCTTTTGTGAAGAGAATCAACCAACAAAACAACAAACTTTTCCCGATAAACTTATAAATAGTGTTTTAAAACAGCAATTTACAAACGCTCTGTATAACAAAGGAGTTGACAGTACCTCTCACCCATCAATCAGCACTCACATTAAAAACGAAGCCATACAACACTCATTTAAAGTTTTCACCAAATCTGATATATAAATCAATATACAGCGAGAGATTTCTTTTAAGAACGAAGGAGAAATATGTGTATTACAGAAATTAGAAATTTTGTATTTGTATATTGGTTATCGCTAGATTATACCAGCACTGTCGCATGCAAATTTTATGTTCTTCTTCAACGTTTTTAAAACGGCGTTTTTGACTATTTTTAATGTTAAGATCCATCACAAAAACTCATTCTTCGGAGTTATATTAATTGAACGTAAAACAACTAAAAAAAAAAATGCTGGATTTTACTCAAGATCAGAAACATTCTTACCTGCTTATGGGGGTAAACGTTTATGTGACATTTGATACATTCTTGGCCCATATTGGCCCAGCTGTTTCCGCTCATCCACTTTCGCTTACACTTGGGGCACTTGTATTCACCAAAGCATCTCTTTTTTCCTTGATATGGTGTTAAGCCTTCGCCCTTAGGCCTAGCCTAGAAAACATAATTTTTATATGACATGTTATAATGATTTTCACTTTAATAAAATTAAATTAAACGTTTTTGTTTTTTTTTTAGTTATTTCTACACCAGATTAAATAAAAAGTAAGTTTGTTTGTAGTTAAACACAAAGCTACACAAAGGGCTATATGTACTCTGCTCACCACGGGTATCGAAATCCGGTTTCTTGCGTTTTAAGTCCGCAGACATAGCGCTGTGCCACTGGGAGACTAAAAGGTAAGTACTATTGAACAAGAAGCAGGTTCTATAACAACCTAATTTTATCCTGTATATGGGGTGTCCAAAAAATAATATTATTTCCTAGCATGGCTAAAAAAGATATATATTTCCTAGTAGTAATTTCTATTCTGTTAATGTCCTGGAACGTAAGTAACAAAGGAATAGATCAGTTCAAAGAAATTTAATTCACCGTTAAACCTGTATCTGCAACAGCTCCTGTAATCACTAAAGAATATAACTGAATACATTTATGATGTATCAACATGTTCGAACTTAAAGGATAACCCCGTAAGTTTACAGAAAGAAACTGTTTTTTTATATAAATTACACGTTCTTGATTTTGTTAATATGCCTTTGACATTTACCCCTCTTTTTTTTTAATCGTATCCTTGTACGAAGATTTGACAACAAATTTCTAACTCCTATGTTGAGGTCATATAATTGTGACTAAAACTTCTAATATGTAACTACTGTTGATCAGCTGTGGGCTAGTGGTTGGCGTGCCTGCCAAAATATCCGATGGTCAATAGTTCGCGTCCCGTTACCTCAAAATCTCGTTCAATACTTTGGGGTAGCTGGTGTTTTATAAGAGTGACCGTTCAATCCAATTTTTGGATTAGAGTAACCCAAACGATGTTGGTGGGTGATGTTTATTATACGCCTGTCTTCCTTTTAGTCTATGAGCTTAAAATTAAGGATGGCTAGCACTGATAATTACCCTCGTATGCTTTAAAAGAATATCCGCAACTAACTAACTACTGTTTGAAGATCACGTAACTGTGGCAACAACTCCTAATCACTATTTGTAAATCATATAGTTGTAACTACCACTTCTAACTACGGTTTGCAGATCACGTGACTGTAAATACTACTTCTGTCTGTGTTTCTAGATTATATAACTGTAACAAGAACTTTTAACTACTGTTTTTAGATCATATAACTGTAACAAGAACTTTTAACTACTGTTTTTAGATCATATAACTGTAACAAGAACTTCTAACTGCGGTTTGTAGATCATTTAGCTGTAAATACCTCTTCTAATTACTGTTTGTAGACAATATTACTGTAACAAGAAGTTCTATCCACTGTTTGTACGCCATATACTCTTGATGCAACTCCTAAACTACTACTTGTGGTTCATATAGTTATAACTACAACTTTGATATAATGTGAAGTCCATCAACTTGTAACTACAACTTCTAAACTACTGTTTGTAAGCCATAAAGCTATAACTTTAACTTGATTTTAACAGAAAATGCAAATTCGTTTTATTTTATTATGTTCATATCAGTTAATAAAGTCAAACTTATTGTTGATAACATAAAAACAATGACTTAGTCTTAGTCGCTCTTGGCTATAGGATAGAATACATTTACCGTCGATCGCAATATAATAACAAAACCTATTGGTACACAAGACAAGTATTCGATATAATTTGGGTTTTCAATAACAACAGCGCTCAAAACGCATGTATAATTAAACGGACAGTCAGCTAGCAGCACCCACCGCTACAAGGGCTATGTCCAACTTTTAAAATCGAATATATAATTGGGTTGATTGAAAGAAGTGCCGAATTTGTTCAGCCGCATCACGTTTCGAACTTTGGATCATCCCGACACGTTGACAACAAACAAAAAGAAAATAAGATTAACATATTTTTTTCTTCAATTTTAGCGTAAAAGTACACATGGGCTATTATAGATCCCCAACCACGTATCTGATAACAAATACGTGCTTCTTTGTCCACGTCCGTAATAAAGCGCTTTCGAATGTTTTTCGTGTTTTTTTTTTATCAGAGTTTACGCGCAAAGAACTATTTGAGCATAGCTATCCAAAATATTGAACTCGCGGACTAGAGGAAAGGCAACTAGTTAACATCATACACCACCAGTTCTTTTAACCGTTACTGCTATAACGCACTAATTGTAATTGTATATTACATGAACGGCCACAATATCCAGACACACTAATAATCACTAGTAAAATAACAATCCGGTAAACTTGTTCACATATGTTCAAAATAGGCATTTCAACTTTTAAGACACATTTATGGTGACCTTATCATTATTATCTTTTTTTTTTTAATGGCTTCATTTTATATTTATTTGAAAATAGAAATCTTTTGTAAGTATGTGTAATATACAAAACATTACACTAATATTTGATAAAATAGGAAAACATTACATGCACCCCAGTTTAAACAACACTAAACAAACTAATAGTTTTGGTTAATCTTCTTAACAACTGGGTTAACCCCTAGAAGTGTCAATATGAACCCCGCCAACTTTTTCAAAAACACTTTTCTAGATTATTATTTATTCAATAAATTGCTTGTGGGTCAAAGCCTTTGTTGGTTCTTGAGTCACTGACAACCTAAGGATCACTCACAAAGCATTATACAAACATTAACCCAAAATACCATCAATATTACAATTCATTTCACAAAGTATTACGTGGATCTACTTACGTGTTTTACGTAGAAAATTGAATGATTTTACTCAAAACAAGTTTGATCAGTTCTTTAAAATGTAACTTGTAGCTCACCAAAACATAAAATTACTTAATCCATTATAATAATACTCAGTTTTTGACTGTCCAGAAAGTGCGCGCGCACCTTACTATATAAATCAACAAGTACATGCACTTTATTACAACGGATGTAAACAAAAGGCGGATGTAAATATACTTTAGTAGACATTTTCTGCAAAAATAGCTTATCAAAGCTTTGAAATAACCTAACGTTAGGTCGTAAAATATTATTATAAATTTATTTATAGATAGTACCAAGTACGGTAAAGCTTAGGCCTAACTAAACTAAAACAAAAAATGTACACAAGTTACTGTGTTAATTTATCTCTTTATCGAATATAGGCCATACTTAATAAAGGCTTAACTAATGTTAGGCCTAAAACAAGAGGACTTATAGATTTCGATGTCTGC